TCGCCTTATTCTGGAGTGGAATTTGGTGTGCCGCAGGGTTCGGTACTCGGACCGATTCTTTTCACTCTCTACATGCTGCCGTTAGGAAACATTATTAAAAAGCATGGAATTAATTTCCACTGCTGCAGATGACACACAGCTTTATCTGTCGATGAAGCCAAATCAGACAGATCAGCTAGAAAAGCTCAGTGCCTGCATAAAGGACCTTAAAATGTGGATGACTCTTAACTTCCTACTTCTCAACCCGGAGAAGACAGAAGTGATCCTACTCGGTCCGAAGCGCCTGCGTGACTCCCTCACTAACCAGATAATTACTCTCGATAATGTCAGTATTGTACCCAGTAACACTGTGAGGAATCTTGGAGTCATTTTTGACCAAGAACTCTCCTTCAAGGCTTATATAAGCCAAGCAACTAAAACGGCGTACTTCCACTTACGGAACATCGGTAAAATTAGGAATTTCCTTCCTAAAAGTGACGCGGAAAAACTCATTCACGCGTTTGTCACCTCAAGGCTCGACTACTGTAACGCTTTATTGGCAGCGTGCCCTAAAGCCTCTTTGAAGAGCTTCCAGCTCGTTCAGAATACAGCAGCTAGGATCTTAACAGGTACCAAAAGGAGGGAGCACATAACTCCGGTGTTAAAATCACTCCACTGGCTCCCTGTGGAGTACAGAATAAAGTTTAAAATCCTACTCTTAACATATAAAGCCATAAATGGCTTGGCTCCTTCTTATCTCCAAGACACGTTAGTGTCGTATCAACCAAGTCGAGCGTTGCGCTCACAAAACGCCAGACGTCTAGTGGTTCCTAAGGTCTCAAAAATCACTGTTGGGGGCAGAGCATTTAGCTCCAAGCTCCTTTACTGTGGAATCAGCTTCATTTATGTTAAGGAAGCAGATACGGTCTCCACATTCAAGGCCAGGCTTAAAGCACTTTACTTTAATTTAGCATATAATTAGGTAATATATAATATATGGTGTATATATTATATATGTATGCTGTATTATGTTATATATTATGTTATATATTATTCAATAATGTATTGTGTTATGTTGTATATTATGTTATATATTATGCTGTATGTTATTCTTTATTCAAGGCTAGGTTTAAAACAGTCCTCTTTAGTTTAGCATATGGCTAGGAAGGTAAGACTCAGGGAAGGCTAAACTCCTCAGACTGTCAGTCAAGCTGCATAGGGAGCCCCCTGCTGGAGAAGTATGGTAACTTGAGCACTATCCTCTCCTCCTTCCTACTTTATCTGTTTAGCATTTTTAGGATTCTGACTGTAGTTTGTTCATTGCTATTCACCCGTTGTCCCATTGTCTGTTTCATGGTACGATGACGGGATCTCTGAGCCTGGCCTCTTCCATCTACACCTGCGGACTGCCCCGCCCGAGTAGTAGCAGTGACAATACAATATAGTCATGTGTAGAGTCATGATGGTACCTAATACTATTATCAGTCATGTGTAGAGTCATGATGGTACCTAATGCTATTATCAGTCATGTGTAGAGTCATGATGGTACCTGATGCTATTATCAGTCATGTGTAGAGTCATGATGGTCCTAATGCAGTAGCATTAGGTACCCTTACATTAGCTCAGTCAGGTTCACTTCTAAACCTTGGGTTGGCGTGCTTCTTTGTGTGTGACTTTCTGTAAATATGTAAATATATTTGTGATAACTATGAAATTCATGCGATTAATCGCGATTAAATATTTTAATCGTTGGACAGCACTAATATATATATATCAGAATCATTTTTATTGCCACGTAAGTAACAGGAGGTCACAGACTTGGAAATTGCTTTGGCTCAGTGCAACAGTCAGAAAGAGATAATAAAAATAAGAATAAAAAACACTTCTAAAGAATAAATTTAAATTTAAAATAGAGTTACAGTTACTATTTACAATATACAAGTGCACATGGTGCACACAATGTAAGGTGACAGCAGTACAGTGAAGTAAAGTGACGTATGATGGGCAGTAAAGTGACTTTATAAACGGCGGGGGGACAGGTTAAGAAGTGTTCAAGAGTCCAACAGCAGAGGGGAAGAAACTGTTCTTGTGGAGGGAGGTTCTAGTCCTGATGGACCGCAGTCTCCTGCCTGAGGGGAGTGGTTGGAATAGTCCATGTGCAGGTGAGAGGGGAGTGGTTGGAATAGTCCATGTGCAGGTGAGAGGGGAGTGGTTGGAATAGTCCATGTGCAGGTGAGAGGGGTCGGCTGTGATGGTCGTATCAAGTAAATATATATATATATATATATATATATATATATATATATATATATTTACTTTTTGTTCATTATTATTAGCTATGGATCTTGTGCTTGCATGTGAGTCCTTGATACAGTGTATAATAATAATAATAACAATAATAATAATAATTGTTGCTTAACCTTTCGATCTATAATGTCTGCAGCCAGAATGTGGGCGTGTCTGAAACTCCTGTGGGACTGGGGCAGCTGCATCACTTCTCGATACAGACCCAGTTGGAACTGCACCACCAGGACTGGGGCCCGGGACGCACTTGAGGGGCACTCAGAGGACATCTGCAAACTATTCAGGAAAACATGTTAAGAGGGGCTACTACTACTGAATTCATTTGTAGTGTGAGAATATGTATGCTTTATTTATATACCGCCTTTCACAGACCAGAGTCACAAAGCGGTTTACAATTGTTATTTTTTGGGCACTTGTCCTCTCACTCCACACAGAGATGGGAGCGGGATCGCCAAACAGGAGGCGCATGCCAGACCTATTGTACATATTTTTAGTGGTAGGGGAAACCGGAGTACCCGGAGGAAACCTACGCAGACACGGGGAGAACATGCAAACTCCACTCAGAAAGGCCCTGGTCCGGCCGGGATTCGAATCCGGGACCTTCTTGCTGAGAGGCGAGAGTGCTATCCACTCAGCCACTGTGCATTACAATTCTGTAATATGTAATTGCAGGATTGATGTTAGATAACATGGCAAAAAGTAATTATATTAAAACAATCCAATTCTCCAATCCAGATCTATTATTCAACATTTTTTACTTAGCCAACAAAAAAAAATCCATTCACAACAGTTTGGCAATGAAATAATCAAACTTTCAGATTGCAAGAAATATTTTTTCATTAAAATGTGCACTTTATTGATCCCCGTAGGGCAATTCAATCCACTGCATTTGACCCATCCTGATGCTGCTAAGGCTGACGTCAGGAGCAGTAGTAAGAGCGCCCGGGAACCCATCTCCAGATGTTGATGCTCGGCTTGGTCACGACCAGAGCTGGAGGATTTAACCTAGTGTGCATGTTTTTAGTGGTATAGGGGAAACCGGAGCACCCGGAGGAGACACGGGGAGAACATGCAAAATCCACTCAGATAGGCCCTGTTCCAACCGGGATTCGAACCCAGGACTTTCATGCTGAGAGGCGAGAGTGCTATCCACTCAGATTACAAGATAAAATGATACAGCATAGGAACTGTACTCATGATAAATACAGAGGCTAAAATATATTTCATAAAATAACGTGTAATAATTGATAAATAAAGCATATCACAAGTCATCTGTGATCGAATGATTGATTTTTCACAAAGGGTAACACATATACAGAGCTTAACCAAAGACACTTACTTGGCTTTTGTTGTTTCTAGAGACATGTCACGACTCATCGCTCAAACTCATGTGAACTGACGATGGTGGGAGTGATTTCCTTTTGCAGGAAGTCAGCACAATGCCTTATTAAGTCCCTCCACACACACACACGTTTGAGACGTTGTAAGGACATTTTTTCTAAAATCCATTTAAACGAGACTGTACATAGGGATACGGGGACACTGGGTTCCCGTGGTGCTAGAGCCTCAAAAATCATATCAATGATCATGAAAAAAATCACAGAACCTATACACGGCTTAAAATTTAAAGATTTCCTTTGCTGCACTGAGATATAAAAAATGACTGTTTTCAAGGCTTTTCAGTGGTTTGTAAAGACTTTTCAAAAACACTGTCTATAAGGACAGGGTTACTTTTGGTTTACAAGGTCAGTGATGTCATCATACACACACACACACACACTATGTATAACCTGTTCTGAAAGGACACATGGTCTGTGAGGCCTGGTCAACACACACATACACTGTGTATAACCTGGTTTGAAAGGACACATGGTGTTTAAGGCCAGGTCAACACACACATACACTGTGTATAACCTGCTTTGAAAGGACACATGGTCTGTGAGGCCTGGTCAACACACACATACACTGTGGATAACCTGCTTTGAAAGGACACATGGATAATGAGGCCAAAGAGACTGAGGCACATCATTATAATAATCAGTAATCTATGGAGGGTTGCTTTTTTAAGAGTATGAATTGTCTCTGCAAACACGTGTAGAGCTTATTCTTCAGTCTACTTCCAAACTTTGTTATGTATTCCCTCGACACCTTCACTGAATTCCAGTTATTCCTAGTTTCAACTGGCTTCACCATCTCTATCCTGCACTTAAATAGATGGTACATCTATAATCACTCCATTCTAAAAGAAAATGAGATCAAGCAACAAAAGGTTTACAGACATAACTGCCTCTTACCAACAGAGACGTGTCAATCACACACAAACTATATCTGTATCCACCAGAACTCAACTGCCAATCTGCAAGCATGCATCACATCTAGGGGTGGGCAATATGGACAAAAATAAATATCTTGATACTTTTTACCCAACTCCCGATAACGACATTGTCACGATATCTTTAAAATCAAAAATGGTTACACAAAATGATCTGCAATGTTTTGCTTGCCATGGCATCTATAGATAAGAGACAGTGTAGATCAAAAATGAAGCTTTTTATTTTGTGCTTCACACATCTTTGCAAAACATGCACTAACATATATTAACATTAAAAAATCAGATTCAAAAAGGCTCAATATTTACTGAAATTTACAAATAAAGCAGTGATTGGCTTTTTAGGGTTAGGGTTAGGGTTAGGGTTAGGGTTAGGGTTAGGGTTAGTATGGAGACTGCCCCCTGGACGGAGGAGTGGAGGCACGGGCCCTCCCCCTGCTGCCAGACCCCCATCGGGTCCCCAGGCTCAGGCGGTCACCGCTGTGGCCCTGCAGGTGCCACCTTCGGCGACCACGGGGCTGAGCCCAAGGTCCGTCATTCGCCATACTCTAACGAATATGTAATAAGTGGGTTAGTGAACAATGAATCGACGTTTCGACCAAGTAGGTCTTCTTCAGGATGTGTTCACTAGGCGAGCAAGAGAATGAATGAGTCTGGTGGGTGCGAGCGGCCGCTATTATAGCTCGGCTCCGCCCCCCGCGCTCTGATTGGCTCCTCCGATTTAAACCCGGAGGATTCAAAAAATATAACTGTTTAACTTAAAATGAGTTCTAATTTGAACTTAAAAGGATCAAATGTAACTTAAAGTGAGTTCTACTGAACTTAAATAAGATAAAACAATAATAATAAAGCCAAGTCACGAACATTTGACTGTTTTTTAACCTTGAACAATGTAATCTTTTTTATAGAATGTTTTTAATTATATTTTTTTATTTTTTTGTGTTTTTATTCATTTTTTGTACTTTTTTTACAGGTTTTCATTTCCTTTTTCTTTGTAATCCCCTTTTCTTTTTAAATTAAATAACTGTGCTTACAGTGTGAACCGGCTGTACCCTCCACTTCCTGGTTCCTGATGGGGGCCTCTCACAGGTAAGTGTGGTCAATTTATGTATGGTGGTTGAGAAGGTGGTTAAGGTTAGGCGTAGGGTCGGGAATGGTTAAGTTTAGGATTAAGGTTAGGGTTAAGATTAGGGCTAGGGTTAGGGTTAAGGTTAGACGTGGGGGTGGGAATGGTTAAGTTTAGGGTTAAGGTTAGGGCTGGGGATAGGGTTAAGGTTAGGGTTAGGGTTAAGGTTAGGGCTGGGTTTAGGGTTAAGGTTAGGCGTGGGGGTGGGGATGGTTAAGTTTAGGGTTAAGGTTAGGGCTGGGGACAGGGTTGTGGTTAATTTAGTCCAGGGTGTGTGGTTAATTTAGTCCAGGGTGTGTTTTTTTGTTGTTTTTGTTCCCCAGTAACTCAATCCATTGTTTTGCTCTGTCTCTCCTCTCTCTGTCTGTCCAGGTACAGTTCGCCTGGAGTCCCGACAGCTCCAGCGCCTCCAGGCCGTGCACCAGGAAGTGAGACAGGCAGAGTGAGAAGAGGGAGGAGGAGGAGGAGGAGGAGGAGGCATCCCTCCTCTGTAGCGCACTCCTAAGTAACCCCTCCTGTTCCCCGAGTGAGCCCCCTGTTTCTCCCACATGTTGTAATTTGCACCTCCTACATCTAATCAAGTAAATCACATTTTTTGTCTGGGGGCCAAAGGTCTGAGTCACTTTGTAAATGAGTCCCTTTGCTCTATTGTAAACAAAAGTCCTCCGGACCAGCGAGGTCCCTTCCCTGTTGGGAGGGTCTGGATCCTGGAGTGACCTGAGTTTAGCCGTGACTAACCGATCCTTTAGATTTTTATTTCTCCTGTACGCCCCAATAAATCTGTGGTTAGGCAGGAGTCCCTGGGTCTGAATGAACTTGTCATAATTCTCTCTGAGTCCAGGTCTCAGTGAGAGGGAGGCCTCTGAGAAGGTGGCAATGAAGGGGACCACTTCACCCGTGGGCCTGTCCCTGACCTCCTCAAATGTGGAAAGGCAAGTTCTCAAAAAAGACCTTGAGTATCCCCTTCTCCTCAGGGCTCCAAAAAGGATGTGCACTGCTTCTTTAAAATCCTCGTCCTGTGTGCAGATACGTTTAAACCGAATTAGTTGTGATTTGACTATTCCTCCAAATATGTGTTTAGGGTGGTGACTGGTTTTGTGCAGTAGGGCATGTGTGTCCGTGTCTTTGAAATAAACTTTTAGGTCTAATTTTTTAATTTGGAAAAATAGTGGTCCCTTGTATACAGTTGTGTCTAGGAAATCCACGCTATGGGGGCTAATTATGTGTTTGAGTTTGATTGAGGGGTCAATTGAGTTCAAATGGTTTATAAATTCCTCGAATTCTTTTTCAGAGTGGGTCCAGATACCAAAGATATCGTCCAGATACCTGTAATATGCCAGAGGTTTGTTTGGACACGAGTTTAAGGCCCTCTCCTCCCATTCTGCCATGAATATATTGGCATAGGAGGGGGCAAAGCGTTTGCCCATGGCAGTCCCTTTGATTTGTAGATAAAATTGTCCATCAAATTCAAAGTCATTACGTGTCAAGTTGATGTCAAGGAGCTGGAGGAGTTCTGAGTCTGGTCTGGGTAGGGTCTGGGTATTTGTGACACGCTGTGGACACGTCATGGACCTGTGACACACCGTGGACACGTCATGGACCAGTAACACGCCTGGACACGCCATGGACCAGTGACACGCCTGGACACGCCATGGACCAGTGACACCCCCGGACACGCCATGGACCAGTGACACGCCGTGGACACGTCATGGACCTGTGACACATCGTGGACACATCATGGACCAGTCATCAGTGACACGCCTGGACACGCCATGGACCTGTGACACACCTGGACACGCCATGGACCAGTGACACACCTGGACACGCCATGGACCAGTGACCGCCACCACCTGAGATAGAAAAGCCATAATATCAAACACAAAGAACAATGTTAGCTTTATCACTGAGCTGTATTTGTTCACCTCATTAATCTGGTCATGAACAGAACAGCATTGTGAAAGTTACACGGAAAATAAAGGTGAAACCAAACATTTAAATGTCCATATAGAATTCAGTCTTATAATACCTCTTTAAGGCCAAACCTCAAAATCTGTAATATCTTGAATGGGATCTAATCTCCAAGACGGTGTGTTCCATTTCCTGGACTTTATGTCACTGCTGAATGGTGGCAGTTAAACCAATGAGAGGCCTCAGATGCTTCTTCACTGCTGTTATCCGCCTTGATGAAACAACTCTGAAACATTAAAAGAGATGAATTAGAATATTAAAACAACAAAAGACAAAAACATCTAAATAGATGAAGTTTCTATATACCAGTGCTTGTGCCCCCTTTTAAGACCGCAAACATAATCTGTACCCCCTATTCCTTGTTAAGATATACATTTAAACAGCCCCCATTATTCTTCAAATCCATCAAGGGAGATGAAAAGATGGAAAGAAGGAACTTTTAAGATAAACTAGTGAAACACATCTATTCTATTCCTGTGACATGTTTGGTTAGGATAATTGTAATGATACCACTCAACACACAAGAGAAATATACACGAGAGCTGTAAACAGCAGGTAAATAACTCTGGGACAAGCATTTTCTTCCACAGCACTACACAACCTCAAACTGCAAATATGTTCATTAACCCTAGATTTATCTGTTCCAATAAAGCAACAACCGGTAACAACTTTATTACACATACAGCACCCTGTGTATGTGACACACAGAACAGACCAGGACTGAGAGGACACTGTGTTAGTGAGGACATCTATATTCAATATGAGACATTTACAACATCTGTGTGTGTGACACACAGAACAGACCAGGACTGAGAGGACTCTGTGTTAGTGAGGACATCTATATTCAATATGAGACATTTACAACATCTGTGTGTGTGACACACAGGACAGACCAGGACTGAGAGGACTCTGTGTTAATGAGGACATCTATATTCAATATGAGACATTTACAACATCTGTGTGTGTGACACACAGGACAGACCAGGACTGAGAGGACTCTGTGTTAATGAGGACATCTATATTCAATATGAGACATTTACAACATCTGTGTGTGTGACACACAGGACAGACCAGGACTGAGAGGACTCTGTGTTAATGAGGACATCTATATTCAATATGAGACATTTACAACATCTGTGTGTGTGACACACAGAACAGACCAGGACTGAGAGGACTCTGTGTTAGTGAGGACATCTATATTCAATATGAGACATTTACAACATCTGTGTGTGTGACACACAGGACAGACCAGGACTGAGAGGACCAGCTAAACTGAAAATGAGACATTAACTATACTAAGTGTAAGATATTCACATGCATTAAAAGGGACACCCTCACTCAAACCTAAGTTTATGACACTCTAAATGATGCAGCAGAGTGTTTTAAGAGATGACCGTAAGTGTGTTCAGGATGTACCTACCAGTATTACAGTAGGTCCCATTCCGTTTTGTCGTCTTCATTCACGCTTCTCGGGAATCACGCAGCTGCGTGAAAAATAGTACATCTTATCGCCACAAGGTGGCAGGCTAAGTCCACTTTAGCTCTGCCAGCGACTTAGACGCTCAGGTATCATACTGCGTGCAAACCTGTCTAGCCCAGAGGTGCTTGTTGGCCGAATGGATAGCATTAAATACAGGGACCTGGAGAACCCAGGTTCGATTCTTGTCTGAGGCACATCTTTTGGTTGCTTGTGGCAAAATTGTTTTTTCATTAAACAATTATTATATAACATCTTGTCTTTAATGTCTGAAAAAATCTAGGTGAAATTCACTAGTGTTATACGTTAAATATTGTGATATGTTTTGATAAACCGAACGTTACGTTACATCTTCCGCTCTGGCCCCGAGAGCAGCTGCTGTGACCCCCGCTCTGACAGCTCAGTGAACGCACTGCCGTCTGGGCTCCGAGCGCGGACCATAGACACGCGGACTCACGTCTCTCTCTCTCTGCTCGCGTCTCTCTCTCTCTGCTCGTCGCTCTCTCTCTCTGCTCTCTCTCTCTCTCTCTCTGCTCCTCTCTCTCTCTCTGCTCGTCTCTCTCTCTCTCTGCTCGCTCTCTCTCTCTCTCTGCTCGCATCTCTCTCTCTCTGCTCGCATCTCTCTCTCTCTGCTCGCATCTCTCTCTCTCTCTGCTCGCATCTCTCTCTCTCTCTCTGCTCGCATCTCTCTCTCTCTGCTCGCATCTCTCTCTCTCTGCTCGCTCTCTCTCTCTCTGCTCGCGTCTCTCTCTCTCTCTGCTCTCTCTCTCTCTCTCTCTCTCTCTCTGCTCCCTCTCTCTCTCTCTGCTCACGTCTCTCTCTCTCTGCTCACGTCTCTCTCTCTCTGCTCGCTCCTCTCTCTCTCTCTGCTCACTCTCTCTCTCTCTCTGCTCGCTCTCTCTCTCTCTCTCTGCTCTCTCTCTCTCTCTCTGCTCGCTCCTCTCTCTCTCTCTGCTCACGTCTCTCTCTCTCTCTCTGCTCGCTCTCTCTCTCTCCTCTCCTCTGCTCTCTCTCTCTCTCTCTCTCTGCTGCTCTCTCTCTCTCTCTGCTCGCTCTCTCTCTCTCTGCTCACCTCTCTCTCTCTCTGCTCGCGTCTCTCTCTCTCTCTCTGCTCACTCTCTCTCTCTCTCTGCTCACTCTCTCTCTCTCTGCTCACGTCTCTCTCTTCTGCTCACGTCTCTCTCTCTGCTCACGTCTCTCTCTCTGCTCTCTCTCTCTGCTCGCGTCTCTCTCTCTCTGCTCACGACTCTCTCTCTCTTCTCCTCTCTCTCTCTCTCTGCTCACGTCTCTCTCTCTCTCTGCTCGTCTCTCTCTCTCTCTCTGCCGTCTCTCTCTCTCTGCTCCCCGTCTCTCTCTCTGCTCACCTCTCTCTCTCTCTCTCCGCCGTCTCTCTCTCTCTGCTCACGTCTCTCTCTCTCTGCTCCGTCTCTCTCTCTGCTCACGTCTCTCTCTCTCTGCTCAAGTCTCTCTCTGCTCACGTCCTCTCTCTCTCTGCTCTCCTTCTCTCTCTGCTCATCTCTCTCTCTCTCTGCATCTCTCTCTCTCTCTCGCCGCTCTCTCTCTCTGCTCGCATCTCTCGCTCTCTCTCTCTCTGCTCTCACTCTCTCTCTCTCTCGCATCTCTCTCTCTGCTCGCTCTCTCTCTCTCTGCTCGCATCTCTCTCTCTCTGCTCGCTCTCTCTCTCTCTGCTCGCATCTCTCTCTCTCTCTCTCTCTGCTCGCGTCTCTCTCTCTCTGCTCGTGTCTCTCTCTCTCTGCTCGCGTCTCTCTCTCTCTGCTCGAGTCACTCTCTCTCTGCTCACGCCTCTCTCTCTCTCTGCTCGCGTCTCTCTCTCTCTCTCTGCTCACCTCTCTCTCTCTCTGCTCACGCCTCTCTCTCTCTGCTCACGTCTCTCTCTTTCTGCTCACGTCTCTCTCTCTCTCTCTCTCTCTCTCTGCTCGCGTCTCTCTCTCTCTGCTCACGTCTCTCTCTGCTCACCTCTCTCTCTGCTCACGCCTCTCTCTCTCTGCTCACGTCTCTCTCTGCTCACGTCTCTCTCTCTCTGCTCACGTCTCTCTCTGCTCACGTCTCTCTCTCTCTGCTCACGTCTCTCTCTGCTCGCGTCTCTCTCTCTCTGCTCACGTCTCTCTCTGCTCTCTCTCTCTCTCTCGCTCTCTCTCTCTCTGCTCACGTCTCTCTCTGCTCACCTCTCTCTCTCTCTCTCTGCTCACGCCTCTCTCTCTCTGCTCACGTCTCTCTCTCTGCTCACCTCTCTCTCTGCTCACCTCTCTCTCTCTGCTCACGTCTCTCTCTGCTCACGTCTCTCTCTCTCTGCTCACGTCTCTCTCTGCTCACGTCTCTCTCTGCTCACGTCTCTCTCTGCTCACGTCTCTCTCTCTGCTCGTGTCCCTCTCTCTCTGCTCACGTCTCTCTCTCTGCTCACGTCTCTCTCTCTGCTCGTGTCCCTCTCTCTCTGCTCACGTCTCTCTCTCTCTGCTCGCATCTCTCTCTCTGCTCGCATCTCTCTCTCTCTGCTCGCATCTCTCTCTCTCTGCTCACCTCTCTCTCTGCTCACGCCTCTCTCTCTCTGCTCGCATCTCTCTCTCTCTGCTCGCATCTCTCTCTCTCTGCTCGCATCTCTCTCTCTCTCTGCTCGCATCTCTCTCTCTCTCTGCTCGCATCTCTCTCTCTCTGCTCGCATCTCTCTCTCTCTGCTCGCGTCTCTCTCTCTCTGCTCGCGTCTCTCTCTCTCTGCTCGCATCTCTCTCTCTCTGCTCGCGTCTCTCTCTCTCTGCTCGCGTCTCTCTCTCTCTGCTCGCGTCTCTCTCTCTCTCTGCTCGCGTCTCTCTCTCTCTGCTCACCTCTCTCTCTCTCTGCTCGCGTCTCTCTCTCTCTCTCTGCTCACCTCTCTCTCTCTCTGCTCACGCCTCTCTCTCTCTGCTCACGTCTCTCTCTCTGCTCTCTCTCTCTGCTCGCGTCTCTCTCTCTCTGCTCACGTCTCTCTCTGCTCTCTCTCTCTGCTCGCGTC